GAAGTAGACATACCAGAGAAGACAGACCCTGAGACAGCTCAAATGCCATTACTCATTGCTATTCAAGGAGTAAGTTAAAGGCCAACCACGGGCCATAACCCCTACAGGGTAGCATCTAGCTGTCAAAGTGCACAGGCACTGGGGGGTTACCCTCACAGGCAATGACAACACGCCTAGTGCTGGCCCTGGCCCCATATCTGCAGTTGGGGGCTGGGGAACTTCCTGTATCTCTGCAGTCTGTAACACTCACTACACCCTCATGGCAGTTCATCTTGCCATTCTTGCACTGGATGTTGGTGGTGCTGCAGATGCTACGAATGTTCCAGATGTCTTCATGGATGAAGGTGTTGAATTGCTTGCAACGAAACTGAGTCATCCTCCGTCTTTGCATCATCAAGTTACAGTATTTAACGTCGCCACCTGTCACTGTAGGATCCACATGTTGCCGCAGGAATCGTTTGTACATGGGCTGGCCATAGGAGGGCTGCACCAGCCCCAGCCCCAGCAGGGTCAGCAGCAAGAGCAGAAGCGATGAAAGGGTCTTCAGGAGAGCCATCACTGCCTTGGAGGTGCCTGGAGAGAAACCAAGAGGTAGGAGAAAGGAAGATAAGAAATGGGCATCAGAGAGAGGATTTGAGAATGGCAAGCTGATATTTCCTCAACTCTACAGTCTACTCTTTCCTCCCCACTTCTCTGCTCACAACTTTTGTCTTCACTGCTTCCCCAAGAGTTAAAAGTTTGCAAACATGATCTTCTCTGAAAGCAAGAGCTTTTCTCTTATAGAGAGACGGTGCTGTAGCCAGTACAGTGACTCAGGGCAGAGACTGATGGGCTGGATGTCCAGGTGTAAGTGTCCTGTATGGTCAGGGTGTGAAAAGGGAGAAAAGGCAGATCTAAATGAAACTGCAGTTGTCTGTCTCTTGAGGAAATTTTCTAGTCATGTGATCTTTGGAGAGTGTTTGGTTCCCTGGAGACTCTGATTCCCAAAAGTTTGTACAGACAGGATATGCCAATGAGAGTTTATGAACTGGTTTTAATTCCTGACATCTGGAAATTGAGGAAGGTGTGGAAAAAGGATAGAGTAACATTTAGAGTTAGCCTTTCCTTTCATGAGTCTATTTTTTTAAATTAAGTATTTTTTTTCCAATTACAGTTGACATATCTATATATATAAAGAGGTAATATGTTAATTGGTCCTAACAGTGTCCCAGTCATGACCAGTCAATGGGCTATGTGCACAGAGGAGCTCATGGGCTGGGACGGGGGCGGGGACTTCTGCCCCCAGCAGAGGGGTGTGCAGGCCTGCCCAGCGCTAACATCATGCTGCCTCGGAGGCGGAGGCCGCTCCCGACGGAGGCACATGCAGGCAAGAGCTAGTGGGTGGGGACCGGCGCAGTGACTTTTTGCATACATACGTGTGTTTGGTTGTCCTTCTGATGCAGACAAATTATGGGATGAGAATAAATCTCATTTTATTGAAGATTTTTGTTGGAAATTACACCAAAGTGAAAGTGCCTGTATAAACTGTGTAATGCATGCACTTAATGAAATTCAAGAGGTATTCACATTACATGGAATGAAATGTTCACATTTCAAACTTCTGGACTATCTTTTATTAATGAATACAAATACATGTGATGAATCATATGAGCGACAACAAGCAGAGGTTTTTAAAAAAATATATTTTATTGATTTTTTACTGAGATGAAGGGAGAGGGATAGAGAGCTAGAAACATTGATGAGAGAGAAACATCAATCAGCTGCCTCCTGCACACCCCTTACTGGGGATGTGCCTGCAACCAAGGTACATGCCCTTGACCGGAATCAAACTTGGGATCTTTCAGTGCGCAGGCTGACCCTCTATCCACTGAGCCAAACCAGTTAGGGTGACAGGCAGGGGTTTTGATAAATTCTCTGAATGATGAACAGTTGGCAGCCTTTCAGACTATAACTTCAGCCATCAAAGATCAAACTGTACACCCCAAATGCTTTTTCTTGGATGGTCCAGGTGGTCGTGGAAAAACATACCTTTATAAAGTTTTAATACATTATATTAGAGGTCGTGGTGGTACTGTTTTACCCACAGTGTCTATAGGAGTTGCTGCAAATTTACTTCTTGGTGGAAGAACCTTTCATTTCCAATATAAATTACCAATTCCATTAAATGAAACTTCAATTTCTAGACTCGATATAAAGAGTGAAGTTGCTAAAACCATTAAAAAGGCCAAATGTCTCATTATTGATGAATGCACCATGGTATCCAGACATGCTATAAATGCCATAGACAGATTACTAAGAGAAATTATGAATCTGAATGTTGCATTTGGTGAGAAAGTTCTCCTTCTTGGAGGGGATTTTCGACAATGTCTCAGTATTGTACCACATGCAATGTAATCAGCCATAGTACAAACGAGTTTAAAGTACTCTAATGTTTGGGGATGTTTCAGAAAGTTGTCTCTTAAAACAAATATGAGATTAGAGGATTCTGCTTATAGTGAATGGTTAGTAAAACTTGGAGATGGCAAACTTGATAGCAGTTTTCATCTAGGAATGTATATTATTGAAATGATTTGTAATGGATCTATTATTGAAGCTAACATTGGAAATAGTATATCTATAGATAATATTAAAAAGATATCTAAATGTGCAATTCTTTATCCAAAAAATGAGCACATTCAAAAATAAAATGAAGAAATTTTCGATATATTCGATGGAGATTTTCACACATAATTGAGTGATGATTCCATTGATTCAACAGATGATGAAAAGGAAAATTTTCTCATTGAATTTCTTAATAGTATCACTCCTTTGGGAATGCCATGTCATAAATTAAAATTGAAAGTGGGTGCAATCATCATGCTACTGAGAAATCTTAATAGTAAATGGGGTCTTTGTAATGTTACTAGATTTATTATCAAAAGATTACCACCTAACATTATCGAAGCTGATGTATTAACAGGATCTGAAGAGGGAGAGGTTGTTCTGATTCCAAAAATTGATTTGTCCCCATCTGACACTGACCTCCCATTTAAATTAATTCGACAACAGTTTCCCGTGGTGCCAGAATTTGCGATGACTATTAATAAATCACAAGGACAAACTCTAGACAGAGTAGAAATATTCCTACCTGAACCCATGTTTTTGGACATGGTCAGTTATATGTTGCTTTCTCTCGAGTTTGAAGAGCATGTGATGTTACAGTTAAAGTTCTAAGTACTTCATCACAAGGGAAATTAGTCAAGCACTCTGAAAGTGTTTTTACTCTTAATGTGGTATAAGGGAGATATTAGAATAAGTTTAGTCAATTTATCAGTCATTTTTGTGTCACTGTTGTTTTTATATCATGTTTTTGTTGTTTTTATATCATGTTTTTGTTTTTTTTATATCATGTCTTTGTTGTTATTATATCATTTTGTTATTGTTTATTTATTAATAAATTTATATATTATTTTATATACATTTTACTAATTTTCTTTCATCTCTGACACTTCTATTATAGAGAAAGGGCAAATAGCAATATTAAAATATTTCCTCTAATTAATTCCCTTTTAATGTGCACGAATTTTATGCACTGGGCCACTAGTAATATTATATTAGTTCTGATAGGTTAACGCCGGAGTTTGCTGCCTCGAACAACCACTTCAAAAATACAACTAAAAGACGGAACGGACATCATCCAGAACCACAGGAAGGTTGGCTGAGTGGAAGTTCTACAACTAGGAGGAACTGAGAATCAGAGGAGGCGCAGTGCTGAAGTAAAATACTAAGGTGCGGAGTGCTCACGGCGCGGGCTGGTGGCTGAGGGCGCGGTTGTCTGTTTCAATCCTGAGGGAGCCTCAGACTCTGAGCTCCAGATCCGGGCGAGTCTCTAGGGACCCAGACTCAAACGGGAGAAGCAGGACTGTCTGGCTTTGGTCCCTCCGAGGTTTGCAGCTGTTGCTGGGACAGAGGCAGAGCCCCTGGGGACGGACTGAGAGCAGCCATAACTGCTCCCTCCTCCGCCCTGTTGATCCCCCGCCCAAGCCCTGCACAGAGGCATTTGCCGGATAGCCTCAGGCAAAGGCTAGATTAGCACCTCTCCAGAGGACAGAAGTTTTCCCGGCAGACACAGCTGATTCTCACAGCCAGTCGGCCTGGTGGTCAAATCCCTCTAGTATTAACTACAACAATCAAGGCTCAACTAGAACAAGACTGTGCACAAAGACCACAAAGGGGGGTGTACCAAGAAAGCGTAAAAAATGCGGAGACAAAGAAATAGGACAAAACTATCAAGGGAGGATATTGAGTTCAGAACCACACTTTTGAGGTCTCTCAAGAGGCTTCTAGAGTCTGTCTATAAACTTGATGAGATGTACAGGAAATCTAATGAGACCCTCGATGGTGTGATAAAGGACCAACTAGAAAGTAAGCATACACTGACTGAAATAAAGAATATTATACAGACTCCCAACAGCAGACCAGAGGAGCGCAAGAATCAAGTCAAAGATTTGAAATGCGAAGAAGCGAGAAACACCCAACCGGAAAAGCAAAATGAAAAAAGAACCCAAAAATACCAAGATAGTGTAAGGAGCCTCTGGGACAGCTTCAAATGTACCAACATCAGAATTATAGGGGTACCAGAAGATGAGAGAGAGCAAGATATTGAAAACTTATTTGAAGAAATAATGACAGAAAACTTCCCCCACCTGGTAAAGGAAATAGACTTACAGGTCCAGGAAGCGCAGAGAACCCCAAACAAAAGGAATCCAAAGAGGACCACACCAAGACACATCATAATTAAAATGCCAAGAGCAAAAGACAAAGAGAGAATCTTAAAAGCAGCAAGAGAAAGAAACTCAGTTACCTACAAGGGAATACCCATACGACTGTCAGCTGATTTCTCAACAGAAACTTTGCAGGCCAGAAGAGAGTGGCAAGAAATATTCAAAGTGATGAATACCAAGAACCTACAACCAAGAGTACTTTATCCAACAAAGCTATCATTCAGAATTGAAGGTCAGATAAAGAGCTTCACAGATAAGGAAAAGCTAAAGGAGTTCATCACCACCAAACCAGTATTATATGAAATGCTGAACGGTATCCTTTAAGAAGAGGAAGAAGAAAAAGGTAAAGATACAAATTATGAACAACAAATATGCATCTATCAACAAGTGAATCTAAGAATCAAGTGAATAAATAACCTGATGTACAGAATGAACTGGTGATTATAATAGAATCAGGGACATAGAAAGGGAATGGACTGACTATTCTTGGCGGGGGAAAGGGGTGTGGGAGATGCGGGAAGAGACTGGACAAAAATCGTGCTCCTATGGATGAGGACAGTGGGTGGGGAGTGAGGGCGGAGGGTGGGGTGGGAGCTGGAAGGAGGGGAGTTATGGGGGGGAAAAATGAGGAACAAATGTAATAATCTGAACACATAAAGGTTTAATAAAAAAAATCATACACCTATGGATGAGGACAGTGGGAGGTGGTAAGGGCAGAGGGTGGGGTGGGAACCGGGTGTAGGGGGAGCTATGGGGGGAAAAAAGAGGAACAACTGTAATAATCTGAACAATAAAGATTTAATTAAAAAAAAATATTATATTAGTTCTGGTGTACCACATAGTGATTAGACATTTATATATCTTACAAAGTAGTCTCTCCATAAGCCTAGTTAGTACCCAATTTGACACCATACATAGT